CTTGTCACCCAGAGGTCTTAGCTCTCGTCCCTGTTAACACTGGCACCAGAGTGGCGATGACGAGGCAGAGTGTGAGCTCCTGGGACGCCAGAGGAGGCTGCTCCTAATTAGGGCAGAGCTAGATGCAGGGGAGCTCGGGAGGCAGCACCTGTCTGGAGACATGAGCCCTTCCAGACATGAGCCCGGTGCTGACCTACGAGCTTTGCTCGAGTCTGTAGATTAAGGAAGAGTGGCTGGTGTTTTACATCGGCTGGAATCACGTCAGTCTGTGTGTGTGTGTGAGAGAGACAAGGAGGGGGAAGAGAAACAGAGGGTAGGGGGACTGGTCAGAGAGGCAGCTGTCTTGGTCGTCTCAAAACACAAAGAAATTGTGGGTCTTAAACCAAAAGTGGCTAGATTATGCATGGTCAAATGTTTATTCAGGCCCATACCCGCCGATCTCAAAAACTCCTGCTTTAGAAAAATCTTTAAAAAGTGGCCACGGTGTTCTATCTGGGATTTTCTTTGGCAGATTGAAGCCCCAGCTCAGTTTGCTCCATTCAACAAGTGCTTTTAAAGCACCCACTCTGGCCCTGGCCGGTTGCTCAGTGGTTAGAGCATCCGCCCGCAGACCGGAAAGTCCCGGGTTCGGTTCCTGCTAAGGACACGTGCCTTGGTTGCAGTTTGTCCCCGGCCCCAGTTGGGATTGTGTGGTTGGCAACCACTCGGTGTGTTTCTCTCACATCAATGTTTCTCTCTCTCTCTTCCTCCCTCTCTCCCTCCCGCTCTATCTGAAGATAAATGCAAAAATATCCTCTGGTGAGGATTTAAAAAAAGCACCTACTCTGTGCCCAGCCCTGCTGGGTGATGTGGGTGGGAAGGAAATACTGGATACAATCCCTGCCCTAGAGGAGTTTACCAGCTTGTTGGAAAGACAAGACTTGCACAAATGAAACAAAACTGAAAACGATTTTCAGGAAAGAACTAGGGTTTTGTGGCCTGAGAGGTCTATGGGGCAGCGGTGGTCAAGCTCCTGGCGAAAGCTGTGCCCCGGGGTCTGGATGCCTGGAGGAGAGGCCCCGGATGAATTTGCCAGTTTGCACAGGTTTGCACTTGACAGTGTAGTTGTTATCTGAGCAGCTCTGTTTGTGGGCACATCCCCAGCACAGCGTTTGGAGATCAGGTCTTGTGACATGTGGCTGCTTGGAGATGCTCCATCAAGGACTAGTGCTGGGAAGACGTCAGCTGGCCGCCTGACCGGGGAGAAGTTGAGCAATTCCCTAGGCTCGGCCCAGTGTGCAGAGTGGGGCAGTGTCCCCCACCCTTTGACCTCAGATGGTGGTGTAGGGGGAGGGTTGGAACGTGGAAGCCCTGGCCGGGGAGCACTGTGCGGCGGAGGGGTGCTTTATCACCGCCGCAAAATCTGTTCGGGCAAAAAGAAACCTGAGCCAATGCCTGTCATGTTACCCACACCTCTCCCGTGTCTATTCCTCGTCTTTCCAGCGTTCTCTCCTCCTGGGCTCTCACCTGCTCTCTCCAGCTTGCTCCCACCCCTCGCTGCCCTCGGGTCCAGCTCTTCCCCGGAGGTCTCTCCTCATTCCCCCTGATCCCTGGCTTCCGCTGTGACGGAAACGCATGTGCGTTTCTCCCGGGTCCAGATCTCCAGCCCTGCTCTTGCTCTTGAGCCCAGATCCCGACCTCTCTGAACATCCTGCAGGCTCACAGTTAGCCTGGGCTTCCTTGTCGTGCTCGATGTTCCCAGGAAAGGCCTCACAGGTCAGCTTTGACCGCTCTCCTCGCAGCCCTGTGCTGCTGGACCAGTCACAGGGCGGCCACCCCTCTCAGACGCGACCGTGCTGCTGGACCAGTCACAGGGTGGCCACCCCTCTCAGACGCGGCCGTGTTGCTGGACCAGTCACAGGGTGGCCACCCCTCTCCGATGCGGCTGTGCTGCTGGACCAGTCACAGGGCGGCCACCCCCCTCGACGCGGCCGTGCTGCTGGACCAGTCACAGGGCGGCCACCCCTCTCAGACGCGGCCGTGCTGCTGGACCAGTCACAGGGCGGCCACCCCTCTCAGACGCGGCCGTGTTGCTGGACCAGTCACAGGGCGGCCACCCCTCTCAGCCGCGGCCGTGTTGCTGGACCAGTCACAGGGCGGCCACCCCTCTCCGACGCGGCCGAAATCCACCTTTCAGTTTCCATCCCAGAACCATTTCCCCGGCCCACGCCCTTGTTCACTCTCACCCCAACTAGTATTCAAAATGTTGAGCATTGTCTATGTATTTATTTAGCAATAGAACCCACCTTTTCTATGCCCCAAAGAAATCTTTGTATCTCTAAGCAAAACGGTCTTAAACAGAGCAGCTGTTCTGGTTGTGGTGGTTTGTGGGCTCCTCTCTCTGGCTGAGGGGCCCTGCCCGTCTTCTGCTCCACTCTTCCCCCAGCGGACCCCGGCACCGACACTCGGACCTCAAAGCGCCTGGCGTGAAAACCACATCTGCCCTCTGGTGACAGCCTCCTGACCATCTCCTTGTTCCTTCTTCCTACAGAGTTATTTCCCTAAAGCCCAGACCTCAAAAGGCTCAAAACCCCCTTTTTAAGTTGTCACCGTTTATAGAACTAAGTCTGAACTGCAGCACTATCCTCAGTCCAACCCCACGTCACCTTTTCTTCTTCACATCCCTGCATTTCCCTCCCCCTGAGCTCCGTGTGGATAGCTCTGCGAGAGGCCCAGACTCCGGCGGGACTAAGCCTCCGCACACCCTGACCATGCTGTTCCCCTGCCAGGAATACCTTTCCCCTTGCTTCCCTCCCTGCTGGACAGCCTGTCTACAACAGGCACGCATGTCCATGTTTGTCAAATACACACAGCTGAGCGAGTGAAGGAGTGAGTTTGACAAGCTCCTCCGAGCCCGAATGGACAGGACACCAAAGCGTCTGATGCCTCACTTGTCATCGACTCATCATTCTTAAGAAGAGGCCCTGGGAGGGCTCCTGCCGTTGAACCCCAGTTTGGAGGATGAGATTCTGCTTCCTGTTGCAAGATTTTCTTAGTAGCAACTACTGAGTATCTCAAGTTTGTTTAAATCCTCACATTTACCTTTCGCCCACCTGTCAGTTACAAATATCCCTCTTTCCCAGATGCTGTCTGCTTATCTGGTCATCTTCCACCTGTTCTCCTTTGCCATTTCCTCATGTCATACCTGCAGGCATGTTCGCACCCCTTGATCATGGGGCAGGCACCCTGTCTGTCTCAGAGGACGCCCCTCACCATCCAGGTGAGCCTCCACCTGCTGCATGTTTTTGACTAGCGTACTTGACTTCAGCTCCACACCATCATTCTGATACCAACACGTCTCCCTGAGTTACCTCAGCTGCTTCTTAATAAATCCCCAAATCCACTCTTGACCCCTCTCAAGCATTTGCCACATGTTAGCCAGAAAGATCTTTAAAGTTGTAATACTGTTCACGTCCCATTACCGTCCTTCTTAAAACCCTCCACCTCTCACCCTGCTGTTGGGAACAGAGAACACGTTTCTGAAGGATGGCAGAGCAGAGCTGGCAAAGCCCCGTGGATCTAGCCTCAGCTGCGTCCTCAGCTTCCCTTTCACTCTCTGGCCGATGCCCCCTTCCTTCTAAGGCAAAAATACCCCTGCTTCCTCTCAGGCCGGGGCCTTTGAACGTGCTGTTTCCATTGCCTGGAGCTCTGTTCTTGCCTTTCGGTGTGATGCTCCAGCACCCCTGTGTCACAGTGCCTACTGGTGCCTACCCGCTTAGCTCTCGAGGCTCCCTGAAATCCCCCTTTCTAGCACTCACCACCATGTTTACATAATCACATGCTCATTCATTCACGTGTTTCCCCACCTGGACTCGAGGGGTGTCCAAGGACAAGGACCGTCTCTGTGTTGCTCACCGTTTCGCTGAGCCCTGCCTTCAACATGAGTCATTGCTTCACACACATCGTTAGGTGAAGGGACGAGCCCCGGCCTGACCCTGCCTGTCCCGCCCCGCAGACGTGGACTGGGGCTGTGTACAAACACGGCCTGCGTGTGACGCCCGGCCACCCATCTCCTCCGTAAGCCCAAGCCTGGGTTCTGCCTTATTATTTTATTATTTTATTTGGTATGTGTCCCTAATGGGAACTGAACCCGGGACTCTCTGGTTTGCAGGCTGACGCTCCAACCACTGAGCCACATGGGCCAGGGCTGGATACAGCCTTTTAAAGAGAAAATCGTAAGACCAGTGTACAAAATCGGGCTACTGAAATTCCTACTCAACATCCCACATTGTTTACGGAAACTATTTGGATGTGTATATTTAGTACTTCATTTTCTTCTTGTGAGGAAATTGATATTTCATACTATTGTACTTTAAATTTACTGTGCTTCCTTGAATTCAGAGCCAGTAAAAAAAAAAAAATTCATCTCTTTATGTTAATTATTTTCTTCCTGAATCATGTGAGTTCTAATCCCCACTGAATGTCCTCTTTTTGTTTTAGCTGCCCAGGTATGGAGTGCTAAATTTCATATCTAACATAGTAAAATTACCTCTGCCCAGGTGTCTGATTACATCTTTTCTCTGCTGTTTTTTAAAAAAATATGATTTTAGTGATTTTTTTTAGAGAAGAAGGGAGAGAGATTGAAACATCCATGTGAGAGAGAAACATCGATCGGCCACCTCCTGCATGCCCCCTACTGGGGATCGAGCCCACAACCTGGCCATGTGCCCTGACTGGGAATCAAACCGGGACCTCTCAGTCCAGGGGACGACACTTAATTCACTGAACCACACCGGCTGGGCTCTACTCTGCTGTTTTTAAAGTGCCTTTTTTATTGTTCTATTGTGTTATGCTTAATTATTAGAGACAATTCAGACCTTTTGTTATAAATATATATTTATATATTGTATATTATATAATATATACTGTTTATTTTATTTATATTGCATTGCATACCTATGATGTATATGTTATATGTATTACAAAACCCTCATACACCTTTTCTTTTTTAAATACCATAGTGATAGCAATCCATATTCTTCATTTGGAGCAACTCTGGCAAGGGATGATGAGAAGAATTTGTGGAGTATGCCTCATGACGTATCCCACACAGAGGCGGACGATGACAGAATGCTGTACAATTTAATAGTCATTCGGAATCAACAGGCCAAGGATTCAGAGGTAAGCACCTTTGGGGGTCTTGCTGTGTGCAGGTGACGGTGTCCAGGAAACAGCAATGACTGAGAACACCGGCTTGAAATACAGGAATGAAGGATGAACTGTTTGACGTCAAGGTCTTTTAACAATACGTAGTTGCCAATGATAACTGGTCTTGGGAGGCATGCTTGGTAAGCAGATGCGACTGATTTCTAATGATGACCTTAGTGAGACAAACTGCAGTGGTACAGAAGGCAGGGCGCTCCTGAAGGTGGTCTGGCACCGGAATGGCTCGCCCAGCCCAGCTCTCGTCTTCAGGTGTTTAGCCTCAGGTAGGAGAGTCGTACTGAAGGCTGGAGAGTACTTTGCGTTATCGCCGATTCTGAATTTGTGGGGCCTCCTGTATTTCTATTGTTTTTTTTTTTTTCTATTTATAGCTCCTTAAATTGATCACACAGCAGCATATCTGCCTACTTTGAGATGATTTCTGTGATAAGGCTTGAAACCCCCTTCATGGACTCTCAATCCAAAGTTACTGGGGTGGGAACACTGAATACCGAGGAGAGGACTTAAGGGAAGACAGCAAAGGAGACCATGCTTTGTTTTTTCTTTTATTTCAAAAGCAGTATTATATAGTAATATCTATCTATCTACATATATACAATAAAATATATTTACAATGTATATATACAATAAAATATATTTACAATAAAATATAATAATAAGGGTATCATTTTCCAAATAATACAACCTAGGTTTTCTAACTTCTGTGTACATCAGTTAGCTCTGAGGAGATACCTCTATGAAATATAGATACCTACATTAAATATAGACTGCTTGTTTCTTTGTATCTTATAGTAATTGGTAAGAATACAGATATTTAAATCCCGGGCTCTGGCTCTCAAGAAAAACACCTGAGAGGAGTGTGTGTGTGTGTGTGTGTGTGTGTGTGTGTGTGTAGGCTGGGGGGAGGGGCTATGGGGCGCTCTCTGTTCTTTGTGTAGATTTTTTTTTTTATTCCTCACTTGAGGATATTTTTCTATTTATCGTCAGATAGAGTTGGAGAGATTGAGAGAGAGAGAGAGACAGAGAGAAACATCGATGTGGTAGAGCCACATAGACTGGTTGCTTCCCGTACAACCCGACCAGGGCCGGGGACAAACCACAACCGAAGTACATGCCCCTGACCCGAATTGAACCTGTGACTCATTGGCCCGCGGGCCGACGTTTTAACCGCTGAGCCAAACCAGCCAGGGCCCTGTGTAGATTTCTTTATTTTTGCTAATTAATTGCTAACTATTTTTCCTTCCCCAGATCATTCTTTAGCAGGAGGTGGTAACTTTTAGAACTGCTCTATGTGTCCTGGTTCTTTTATTCTGGTGTGGCTTGGATGCCCTTGGGGGCTTCGAGGCGGGCAGGGGGGGAGGTCAAGGGATAGGGGAATGGATGGCAGTTGCCTCTGGTTCATGAGGCTTGGGCAGGCTGGGCTGGAGTCCCAGGGTGGCTGCTGATGAGTGTCCTGCCTTGGGTGTGGAGTGCTGATGGGACAGCTTCTGTTAGACAGCTTCTGTTAGGGTGCAACTCAGGGGCATAGCATCCTGCTAGTCCCTGGATTCCCCTGTCCTCAGCACAATCCCCTTCTTGACTGGTGATACCTAAAGTGCATCATAAGTCTGCTCCAAATCATTTTATGCATAATTATCATAATGCATATGGACAGGAATGCATGACGTGAGCACATGGACAGGAATGCATGACTTGTTTTCCCTTGCATTAATGGGAAGAGCCAATCCTTTACTGTATTGGGCTGAGCAATTAGGGATTCGGCTGGTTAGCATAGAGCTAGTTTTTCTATTTTCTTCCTCTTCTTCCCCCACTCTGCCCAAAGCAGCAGCAGCAGTAGGACCATAATATATAGTACACCTCTCCCCGCCACCCCAGGTCCTTTGCACATGTGACAGGGGCTTGGAGGGCTGTTTGGAGCTGAGGCTGGCTGCTCTCTCTGGAGGAGCTCCTCCTTCTCTGCCCTGTTTGTCTTCACTTCTGAAAAGATGGCAGAGGAGGCAACATGAGCTGCAAAGCACTCGGAATAGACACAGCTCCAAAGTGGCCCGTTGTGTCATTTCTGTGCTATTCCTGGACCTGTGTGTAGGGCCATCCAGAAGGCTTTGCTTTTCCTTGCCTAAGAAATGAGGTCAAGCTTACCTCTAGAGGAACTCTGCAATCAAGAGAGGCAATCAAGTAAACAATAACATGAAGATGTGATGATAATTATGCATAAAATGATTTGAAATATCTCTGTTCATGGTTCTTCTTTTTTAAAGTGTAATATATATATATGTATGTGTGTGTGTATATATATACACACACAGTATGTATATAAATGTATACATATTTTATATGTAAATATATATGTATATATATAGTAATATATAATATATACATAGTTTAAATTTTTTCTTGTATTTTCTCCTCCCAATTTGAAATGCATATAAGAGCATATATGAATTGTTCTATCCATTTCCCACAGATGGGATTATACATTATAGACTCTCCTGAACCATGCTTTTTTCCTACTTAATAATATATTTTGTACATGTTTTCATTTCAATAGGGTTAGATTTATCTTATTGCTTTTGAGGGCCCTCTAGTATTCTCTTGGATGGATTATCATCATTTAATCAACCAGTCTCTATTGATGGTTAAGTTGATTCAGGTTTTTTGCTTTCAGAAGCAATGCCACAGTGGGTATCCATGTGTACTTGTATGACCTTCCACAGTTTTTTTGGACCAAAGAGTATGTGCATTTAAAATGGAATGTCACAGTGCTTCCTTCTTGGACGAACCCATGAAAAGCATGTCAGGGTGCAGAACTGAACAGCACTGGAAGCTCACAGTGTGTTTTAGGGGAGCACTGCTGAGCCCCAGATAGCTGTCTGCCACTCTGAGAACGTGGACCCAGAGATGCTGAAAGTACAGATTTACATATAAAATGTCCAGATTTTTAAATGATAACTCACATTTTAAAACACGTGTCAGCCAAACAAAATATGTCTATAGACTACTGACCTATTAGGAACATTTCAATAAGGATGACCCCCACTTATATTATATTGCGTGACTGAAAAGTGAACTCACCATTAATTTAGAAGGAGGAAGTGAGGAGCTGGTGGGGAGGGGGTTTTACATTTGAACAAGTTCTAAGTCTGTTAATATTGCTGATTTCCATTTTCACATGGGATGAACTTGGTACATGTTTTAATAAAATAGAGGATTTTAGTTTTGAAAGAAAAACAAATTGTACCTGGGAACAAGGAACCCTAGATAGTTTTGCATGATACAGTTTAGAAGCTCAAGCAAGATATTAAGGAAAACCGAACATTCTTTTTCTGTTTTGTTTTATTTATTTATTTATGTTCATTCTCACATGGTGATATATTTTCCACTGGAAGGGAGGGAGGGGGAAGGGAGAGAGTGAGAGAGAAACATTGATGTGAGAGAAACACATCAATTGGTTGCCTCCTGCACAACCCAGACTGGGACTGGGGATTAAACCTGCAATGCAGGTATGTTCCCTTGACTGGGACTGGGATTTGAACCTGAGACCCTTTGGTCTGCAGGCTGACACTCTAACCACTGAGCCAAATCAGCCAGGGCCTGAACATTCTGTTTTACCTTGAGTAGCAATAGTATGAAAGACCCCAGGAGCATCTATATTTGAAATTCTCTGAAAAATGAAACATAATTTCAAAACAGTGTGTGGACTACTTACATTCCCCTGTTGAATCCAAAGCTGGTGGAGGAAGGACTACAAATAGTTAAGGCTAAATTTGCAGTGTTTTCCCAAATTGAAAAATATCAGAAGACACATGGGAGAGCAAATAACGAGCAAAGGCATGAACTTAAAAGTAACTCGCAGTGTCAGAAAATGTAAAGAGGAATATTATTTAAATCTAATAGAATCCACTTTTCATTTACACAAGCCTTCGAAAGCTAATGGAAGACTGACTTTGACCGAAAGAAATGATGCGTTTGCAGACCTCCGAGTAGTGGAAAAATTATTGCTCTTGTCATTGCATGACGTCGTAAAATACTTTAATTTGACTAAGCAACAGTAAACAACCTCAAAATCATGGCATTAAATCATCCTTCTAATGTTTGTTCTCATTAAGCTAGCTGTACTTCACCTCACACTCTGTTTTAAGGAGCTCAATAATAGTGAGATATCAACGCACCTGATTTATTTGTGTAAATAACTTGACCATATGGAAAGATCTTGTTCTCCAAAATATGAATAATAATGAAACTGTGCCAGGCACTGTTCAACCACTTTAGATGTATTAACTTTGTTCTCTTCGCAACTCAAAGAGGGGTAGGGACCATTATTTCTATTTGAAACGACTTGTCCAAGGCCATCCCGCTGAAAGTGTGAAGTTAGGATTTGAATCTAAGCTTTGTGAATCCAGAGACATAACATACAATGAGCACCATGAATGAAATTATGAGAGGAACTGATATTATCTGAGACCAAATCTCAACATCACAATGCATGAGCGAAGTCTGTCCAAAGCCCATTTCTGTGACTTGTTGATGCCAGGGATAGGACAGGCACTCCTGTCCCAGGGGAATGAGCGCCTTGTTTGGTCTGAGGATCCTGATCTTGTTTCGGGAAGTGTTCCCGGTTGTAGTGTAACACCTTTCCCAAGTTATGCTTTTCCACGCTAATTACCAGCGGGTTAACACGCCTACTGTGGCCTTCTGTGTTGCTGGCTCTGCGATGTTTCACCTGCCCCCTTTCCCTCCCTTCTGTGTGTTTAGTGTTTGGTCTCTGACCTCCGTTCATTGGTGTCTCTTCCGATGGTCCAGTAATAGTTCCTTTAGGACTTAGTGTGTGGCGTCAACATTCTTACTCGGCTAAAAAAAGACTTTTACATTCCTGATTTAGAAAATAAATGCTAAGAATCAAATTGTTCTCATAAATACTGTTAAGCACCATTTGGTTCAAAATTGGTGATGTTTATGTG